CTGTCAGTGCACATCAAATATGTTTATGTCTGGTTCAAGGATCCAATTTAGATATTTTTCGGGGGATTTTTCTGAAAATTAAATGTATCTGTTGTAGGTATCTAATTATATTCGATATTGGAGTTACTGAATAATAGCTAAAACATTTTTTATAGGAATAAATGATGTTTTTGCATTTAATTACAATTTATGTGCCTATAATATATCTGAAAAAAAACGACCATGTTGCTCTTTTTTTCACATATAAAAATAGACACATTTATAATACTTTTTCTAGCATAATGTAATTAATTGATAACGAAAAAAGGCATCACATTTGATTTCAACAGTTAAACTCACAATTACAATGATCAAGTAGAATATAAAGGGATTGATTTTAGGTCTGTATTTGATACAGAAGAACACTACATTCTATTTAATAAAACGGAAAGGGTTAGAATCAGAGATATTGCCTTCAAATTATTTAAAACAAAATTTTTTGACAGACAACTGCGTTATGCCACAGGGTGATCCACTGAGGCCAGTTTTATTAAATATTATAAATGATCTTTCAAAAATTGCCTATGACAATGTTCTACCAGTATTACATGCTAATGACTTATTCTGTGAACTAAAGGACTAAAATCATTCAAAAGTAAATTGTTGAACATACCTATGGAAATACTATGTATTTGAAACACAAAGTTGTTCTACATTGAGGTAGTAATATTTATATCATCCCTGAGTTTTATACTTTAGATGTGGATATCTTTATGTTTTATGAATTCTTGAACGTTATTTTTTACCTAAAGGCGTTCACATTCTCGGAAAAAATAAATTACAATTATTATTACATCTTGAGGAGAGTGAAAGCCGAGTTTGCTGTACTCATATAAATGTAAATGTGAATATAAATACAATATGATAATAATATACAAAAAATAAACGAGTAAAAAGAAGAGACCACATATGAGCCAAGTTCAGGTAAATCTAAATTTGATAGAGTCAGTTGATCGAGAAGGCTTTCTGTAATAAATTCCACATATCAAACCCATGATTCGACAGGAAAGACTACCTTGTACGGGTGTGAAAACGTCCTTTTTAATTTCAAATCAAGACCATGTTAACTCTCCTTGCTGTTATTTTAAGACCACAATACATGCTTATATCGTCGAGGGACATCAAGCTCGTAAGATGTTTTTCATAAGAAAGGTGTCAAAAACTAACGGGGAGTTTCGTAGTGTGTCTTTGGACACCTTCTAATTGCACATATCTTGCTCCGAAACAGTTAATCGTGTAGTTCTAGCAAAGTTAAGACGTAGGAAATTATAAAATTTGAGAAAAGTAGAGGCATTAAGATCTTAGAACGATCTACGAATCATATAATATGGCTTAATTTAATATGGATCGCACGACATTTAAAGTAGATAAAGGTAATAACCAATATGAACGCCAACGATGGCATGAGATCAAGATAGTTTTGTAAACTGAAAGCTTCAAGTCGTCTGGATAGGGAAACGATCCGAATGCACACTTTCTTGAAAGGCCCCCATGTATAAATTAGAAACAGAATAGGACCTAGCACTGAACCCTGGGGTAAACCATTTAAGATAATGCGTTTCTCAAAGCGACAATCACTAACCCGCTTGTAAATTGCCTGTTACTAAGAAAGGGTTCAATTCATGATTATAGCTTTCCACGTAAGTACTGGAGTGGGAACTGGATGTTGTCTGCTGCCTGCATTTCCTTCTCATTTTATTAAGTGGGTTGGTGGTGTTGTGACTTGCTCTGTCAGGGCTTTAGTGAAATTTGTCAATTTGTACTTATTAATACTTTAACAAAGCACGTAAAGCGTTCGTGTAAATCTGCTTTGGGCTTTCTATTCGATGGATGTTTTATTGTTTATATAGATTGCCCTATTGTTAATTTGTCAATCAGTCTGATAACTTGAGAAGATCTTTCTGTGAGAACAATATTTTGTTCCCACTGATATAAATAAAATCCTATTATTTTAGTATAATATGTAGATTTATTTCAAATTAAAGTAGGCATTTTACCAAAATATAATCCTTTTTCTGCCTTACAACATCCAATACTAACTATTTGGATTGCTAATGGTGTGTTTATCTTCAAAACCTACTTAGATTCAATTACCCTATATAGATACAAAATCGATGTGGCACAAAACAGAAATTACTGTTTAATTATATAATTTCCTTAAACTGCAACGCAAACTGCGGTGAGCTAGATTGCCGATATACTCCAACACGCTTAATGGAGGATGAGAATTTGGCACGTTTCGCACTCATATTTGCCAACTGAGTGAACATTCTCTTGATATTTAATGCCCTAGTAAACGTTTAATAATGCTTTTTGTACCAGTGATCTTCTAGTTTCGATTTTACGATATACGTACAGGATGTACCAACATTGATGTGTCGATGATGTTATACTTTAGTCCGATTTTCGAAATTGCAACGATTTTAAAATTTTGAAGACTACCATTGTAATGACCAGTGCTTATTAATAAACAATTAACAATATAAAAATACGATGAATGTTGGACGGCGCCAAGGAAATGGGTTGCTGCGTAATCGTGCTTTTTTTGGTCTTTTTCCATCGCGGTTCCCTCTGTACTTATCCAAAATAATACATATGAAAGCGTCAGAATGATAATGTTTTTAGTGAAAAATTAAGAACAGAACATCACAATTATATTGGTAGTTCTATCATCTGTTATTATGGACTCAATTTTTTAGTCAATCCTTTTGAGAACGAACCAAAACTGGGAAATAACGATATTTAAAAAAAGTGTAGTTATTTCCTTGAATCTCTCTTTTGGGTTTCGAACTGAAAATAAGACGTTCTTCCTCCCTATTTTACCTTGAAAGAGCAATATTTTCCATGCTTAACAATACGGGGCTTGTAGGCCACAAGAAAAACAAGAATTGGGTTTCCTGCTAATGAGTAGGTTAAAGGTACAAGTGCTGTCTGTAATAACTTCTCTAATGTTTCCTTAACTCAACTAACCTCACACCTTCTCTCACCACCCCTAGCGGCACGCGTTTGAATAGTTGTGTATTTTACACGACCCAAAGTTCCTCTGCGTACAGTCGCTTTACGTGCAAGAAGTGACAGCTGCGAAGCGGCTGCCTCTAGTGGCGCCGGCAAACATCACATCGACATACTCATCTCCCAATTAACCTGGATCTAAATTAGTTACATTTATAGGCGTACTTAGGCAATTAAATGATTTTGCCATGATAATCTGAATGCAAACGCCCCAGCCGCAGTGGTAAGTGAAATAAACGCTTCGTTGGATGACGGTAATTAGGCTGTAATGGTAATTGAATATAGAATGAGTCGTATTCATGAATCTTATAGTAGTAGTAGGGTGGGTGATGGTATGGGAGTTTAACCTTGGGATATAGTTTGAGGCGTAATATTTTTTTTAGTAAGAGTAGACTGTAGATCTTTTTTGTATGATTTCCCAAAGCTTTGTGTATCTTTTTACAACTGCGTTTTAAGTTAAAGTTTCATATCTTTCATAAATTCCATAACTGGCTTTGAACGTAAAAAAATTATTAGTAGGATTAAATCAAATTTTGAAACTGATAATAATTGAAAAAGAAAAGTATATCAAATAGCTGGTTTTTAGACGGATTTTCCAAGCTATAAGTATATATTAAATGAGATGGCTAATCCGTCCCGTATTGCTATGCGGAGTCACAAGAGGAAGGTTGTTTGTAAGCCTAGTCACAGAATTATGTATATAAATGTAAGTCCAGTCAATTAGGTAATTATTAACATGGCATAGTTATGCCAAAGCGTCCCGACATTCAGGATTCCCGCCAATAAGATAAGAACAGAAACTTCTGGACCCAAGAAATGGGCGTGTCGAATTCGGGAAAGATCTGCGAGAAAAAGTCAGTTCTTCCTTAGGTTCCACATTGAGCAGTCGACTTAATTTTAGAGTCTCGGGCTAATTAATTAAATTTAATAATGGATAAAGTTTTTTCCAAATTTTGCTATGAATCTCGCATCTCGGTACGCTGTCGCGTGCCAATAAATTAGTTAATAATGTTGTTCGAGCCGTTGTGTTGTTATTTTGTTTGTTTGTTTTGTTTATTGTTATTAAAACCCTTCCTGGAAGTTTTGGTGTTTCTTTTTGTTTCTTCCAACTTCAGTGTCACCCTGTACAGCCAGTCACTGGATTACATTCTACATAAGCAATAGAGGGTAAGTGCTTGAAATTCATTCTCTGAACATACAACATTTCTAAGTTCCCACGTATTAATTAAAGTATAATGATAATTATAAACTTCCTTTCGAGAATTAAATAGTAAATTCTTTTGAAATCCAGACTCGTTATGGTACTGGTCATAACGGTAGATAGATAATTAAAGAAATAATCCCTGAGGTTACAAGTGACGCAAGTTGGCAAATTGCAAATAAGTTGCAAAATTACGTGTTTTTTCACTTTTTTACAGCCCATGAAAATCTAGACGACCTATCGGAAAATTAGTCATTTTATGTTGTAAGCAATTAAATTACCTACAGTTGAAGGTATCTAAAGTCATATTTCACCAATTTGTTAACTGTAAAATAAAGGTCGAACGTGAAAAAATCTGTTTTCGAAAATTGCGCATTATTATTGCAAATAGCGATGGATGGTGATGAAATTTATGAAAAAGACGGTCCAAAGACAACAAGTGTGCCAAAGGCCGATTTGACAATTAAATTCGTTCGTTTTTTGCAACTAATTATTTAATTACTAAAAGTTAATATCATAGATATAGGGTTTAATTGATCCAAAGACACGTATTATTAAAGACTAATATTTTATCAACACCAAACAAAATATAACTTTAAATTCGAGTTTCATCTCGGTATCTGATCCTGCAGGCATTAATCATTTCCATTTTCATATACTCCCTAAGCTAAATTTCAGCTAACATCATTTTCAGGCGTCTCCAAAGGAAACAAGAAATAAAAGTAGGCTTAGGCTTATGCTAATTTATTGCCATTTCGAGTACTCATTTACAAAGATATACCGTAGGTAGCTAGAATTATAATTCTTTGTGAGATATATTTTCTTTCCATTAATTGTTTGATTTATTTGGGTTTTCCGCCACTATGAGAAAGCTTAAGCGGAATGGATGTGAGCCAGGGCGCTCCACCGTACAGGTCCTTTTCGTCAAATGTAGAATTAACTAGGTAGGTAATTGATAAATGAATTATAAAAAACGGATAATAACAATAACATACAAGTTCCATCACTTAAAACTTCCCAAGACTGTATCTCCTATAGTTTTTAAGATCGCAACAATCAAGTAATCGAGACCAATCTCTGAGAGCTGTCGATAAGCGTTCCAGAAATATTTATTTATTTTAAATTTGAAGTTTTTTAGAAACATTTTTGCTAATTTTTATCTGAAGGAGGTCCCTTTAGGTTTGTGCATTTCTTCGCTAGACACCCTGTACATGAGTAATTACTAAAACTAGAAACTAAGAACTAAGGGTACATAAAATCACTTTTTTAAAGAAAACTAACAGTGACGATGAGTTTTCCAGTCTTAACGTCACAGTAACATATTGTACTTATCCTGCCTTGTTGATTTTTTCTATTGATTCAACTGTACTCTTCTTAAAGAACTTCTGGACTTTAAAGCTCTTGTCTTTGCATTACCAAGGCATTTTACTTTCATTGAGTCGACCAAAAAGGAATTATTAAATTTAAATTCTAAACGCAAGGAAGCGTGGAATGAGAGAAATATTGATTTAAACTGAGTCTGGAAGACAAGGACGCATCTCAAGGTGCAGACTGACAAAAAATCAAAAAAAAAAAAAACTCCATACTTCTGCCAGCTTGATTTGTTCCCCTGACACTGCAGTTTGGCATGGGTCCGTTCAGTTTGCAAACCCTTCGAATCTTTCCGGCAATCCCTCGATTTATTTCACTTTTTGTCGCGCGCAAAAAAACGAAACGCTATATTCTATTTCATTTATAATAAAGACATGTATTTAAAATTAATGATCCGGAAAATGCCGGGCCCGGGGTATCTCAAACTTGGTGATTAATTTTCTTCTTGCAGTTGCTTTCGACCCTTAGCTATAGCAGTAATTGAATCTGGAAGAGAGCAAATGAGATAGCATTAGTTAATTTTCGGCTGTGATTAGATTGCATACAGCAAAGAGTTACGCTTTTCTCCCCTGGCCCAGGATGGTATGCCACGGTGAAACCGCCTTGGAATTATAATTATAAAAGAAAAAAATCCTTCTATATTCCCCGTTATTAGGGTGTGAAAATATTTGTTGTTCCAAAGAAGTGTGTAGATGAATTGGTCGTAGGACAACCATTTTATACTTTATTTTAAAGTTATTAAGTTAACTCAAACAAATTCGTTTTTATTTTAATTTCAAATGAAGTCAAAGTTCTTCGAAACTAGAAGAACCAGAATTTCCATTATTCTTGCTGTCTTATTATCACCCTTGGAAAAGTCGCACCTCCCTTTTGCTTTACTAACTAACATTATTACAACTATTTCTTATATAAATACTGTCCATACAAATTTTTACAAAACTTACAACTTCCTAAAATTTCCTACTTTTTATGTATTGCCGTCAATAAAATTTGTTGTTTCCTTATTTTCTTAGATTTTTTACAGAATACCAATGTAATCAATAATCATTAATTCTGTTCCAAATTTTTCATTTGAAAACTATGATTATTATATGTATACTGGGTTGAGAAATTTTGGAAATTCTTGTAAAGAAAGTTAAAGGGTGTGATTTATGTTCCAAATCTTTTCAAAAATTGAATTCAACCTTGTCCTTTGTGTTACGGAGTAAAGCTTGTATGTCGTTCTTCGCCTCTGAAATAACTAAATTTTTGTATTTTTGTTGCTATCTATCAATTTCCATTTTAATAAAACTTTTTTATCACTTGTTTTGAACTTACATGTATTATTTTAGCTTATAAAATACATGTGCCTGTAGAATTGTTTTATTACTTTTCATTTGTGTATTAATAAAGTAATTTTAGTTCCAATATTAAAGTTGTTACCCATTCTCTTTAATTTTTTCGAAATACAGGAATACACGGAATTTTTATTGTGAGTGTAATTTCCTTGTGGCATAATTTGTTTCGCTTTCAATATATTTAAAAACCGTTTCAACGAATTTCTCAGGGCATTGATTGTTTATTAGTACATTTTTATAAATTCCAATTCATTATTATAAATTTCATCTTTGAAATCAATTTGGCTCTATCGTACAAAAGTTTAATTACACCTGTCTTATATCAATATGATGACTCGAAAATTTAGATATCTGTTAGTGCGAGTTGGTTTTCCATAAAGCATTGCAATTTTTTATATCTCATCCAGAATTTAATCCTTTAACTGAGTGATCCTTGCTCTTCCTAGTAGCCCTTTTCCACTACAATACGGCAAAAAACTTCCTAAAATGGATCAGCAAAAGATTAGTTACTTTTAGCATTTTTTTTATTTCACTTGACTTTTTACCTCTTTCTTGTAAGCTACGATGAACCCTTTCAAAGGTTCTTCGGTGGGGAAAACGACGATGCATGTCAGCATATTCGCTATATGAATTTGTTATCTAGTATTGTGTACTCAATCAATCAGACAATTTTGACAAGTGTTGTCAATAACATATTATTAACGACATAAAAACGACTGGTCTTTTATTGCAGTATTCTGATTTATTATTTCAATGACGTGTTACACAGAAACTTAATTTTTTCGAAAACGGCTCATTTTATCGAAACAAATGTAGAGTATCTCTTTTAAAGAGGAATGACTAAAGTATACAAGCAAGTCCGTTCCTGACTTCCCTGATATTGTAAAACATCTACTATAGTATGGTTTTATGAGCCTTTATACCTACATAAAATATTAAAATTTCAGTAAATAATACACGTGGCCGCGCCGGTTCAAAAGTTAGAACCGAAAAGGTAAATCACTGAGTGCCCCTTTGGGGTCCTGTAACTCCGATAAGGGGCACTAGGATTTTTTTGATGACAAGTCAGGGTTATTATGACCTGCCCTATACACTCACGAGAGTATGCCACACATAGTGGTGTGTTTTTTGTACCTATTTTGTATTTATATGCTTTTTTCAGTGTGAGGTTTTCAGGAGAATAAACGTTAACCGATCCTGTTTTCTTCCCTGTAACTTTTTGACATTTCCAGTAGTATGGCTGCGAGAATCACCCTATTGGATTCATTCCAGGGGAGTAGGCATAACAAAAAAACGGCTTCCACGCCATTTATACGTACCCATAAGCCTCCTGGGAACGCGGTGGGTCCGATGGAATTCCGCCGACGTCTCCAGCTCGTACTTATCATCGACGAAACTCCTCCTCACGAAGACCCTCTTTATTAACGTCGGGATGTACTTGGAGTTAAGTTGCCTGGACGATATCACTTTCTCCAGCTGGCAGAGGAACTCGGCGCGCTTCTCCAACTTCCTCGCCCGGCCGCGGCGCTGCAATTCCTGGATATCGCTGACCGCCAGGCCCACCATGAGGTTCATCAGCACGATGCTGGTCAGGATAATGAACATGAGAAAGATGATGCGGGGCAGTAACGAGCCGCCTCGGCTATCTGCGAATAGGTCCGCATATTCGAACTCCCCCATCATCATAACTGTGGTTTTAACTAGCGCCCGCCAGGGGTCGGAGAATTGCTCGTAGCTGCGAAATTGAATGGAAAAACTGAGGGCGAAGCCTATTACCAGACACAGGAAGGCCAGCAGCACCTAGAAATGGAGAAAGGGCGCTGATATTGCTCCGTTTAATGGGCGGTTCTGGGATGTTTAAAATTTGGCGATGACGTGCGGGAAACTGGGAATTCGCCGCTTTATTTTTACTGTGGGTCAGGCAAGTGGCAGGACATAAGGGTGTGAAATTGAAAATGGCCTTTATAGCGGCGGTAATTTTGAGATGAAATTTTGGTGGAGAGATTGGAGCTTTATCGCGATTTTATTCGTGACAGATTTACGGTACGGATTTTTTATTTCACTTCGAACGTGTTATACTACTTTAAAATTCCTTTAAACATAATCCCAAATTGTTACCAAATAATGTCATAGATTGTAACGCAGTAACGTATCAAAATGAAGACCAATTTTGTAATGCAAATGCAAAGCCTTAATAAATGATTACAAGCCACGTGATCAGTAATTTTGTTTGGAACAGTAATTTTATTTCCTTCATGTTGGCAATAAAATTATATGTTATATTTTTTCACGAGAACCTATTGAAAAATCAACGATCGCATTATCTTGAGCATAGACGTAACAATTTGTCACTGTTCATTGTAAACGAGTCGTTAATATTGATGACGCCATAATTTAAGGAATTTTCGTTACCAGTATGATTCGTGCAATGTTTGGTTGCCTAAGTTCGCCGATCACGTGACTTGTAAACATTTATGAAGGCTCTGCATATAAAGATAATAAAATAATTCTTATACGGGGTGTACTAATGATCCATAGCAAAATTTGGAATGACTTTATCCATTATTAAATTAACCCGAGACTCTAAAGCTAAGTAGACTGCTCGATGTGGAACTTAATTCGACACCTCGCTTCGACACGTCAATTTCTTGGGTCCAGACGTTTCTGTTCTTCTATCGGGACGCTTTGGCATAACTATGCCATGTTAATAGTTATTTAATGGACTGAATTTACATTTATATAAATAATTATGTGACTAACTGGACCTACAAGTAACCCTAGCCTTTCTCTAGTGACTCCGTGTAGCAATACGGGACGGATTAGTCAATCTCATTTAATTTATTCTTATAGCTTGGAAAATCCGCCTAAAAACTAGCTATTTGATCTATTATTATTTTTCTAACAACTTCTAACAACTTATTCTTGGAATTCCTACGTTCTTTGGAATGCATTTCGCGCGTTATTTAAAATATCGATTTTTCTCTTTATACCAGATGCTCAACACGTGGCCCCGACTGTATAAGTGAACTTGTTCAAAAATACTGTTAAATTTTATAAGGCCTTCTCCAAAGGATGCTAAACCTACTTGAGAGCCCTTAACTTTTCGATAAATTAGTGTTGACTGAAATATTTTACTTTTTTGGCCCATCCGTTCTAAGAACTAATAAATAAATTACTACGCGTCCCGGCTTTTGTTACACTATAATTTCCTGCAATCAAAATAAGTAGATATAATTAAACGTATTCTAAGTTTCTTCGTTTAGCCGCTAATGAGCATTAAAGTTGACCAAATGTTTTTTTCAAAGTTGACAGAAAGACCATTTTTTTATTTTTGAAATGCAAATTTTAATTTGATGAGCGAAAATGATCTTTCATAGACGTTATAGAACATATCAGAATTAGTTAATTCAAATTTAGAATATTTCAAATAAAAACGGCTAGAAAACATGTCAAAGCACATCGAAGTGGCTTCAGAAAATATTAATATGGATCAGAATTGCTTTAAAAACAAAATATATCAAAGTAGTTCCAAAATTTAAAAAAGTTATTTGCCAGACCGAAGGTTAAGTTAATGGTCAATGACTAAAACTAGAGAAGACAATATCAATGGCCAGATCTTCAAAGTTCCTGACCCTGACCTGGGGTTAAAAGCGAGTGACTTGGAGTTGAAGGTCAATGAGCTAGTGATAAAAAATGTCAGAGACTAATAACAATTCAGGTAAATTATGGAAGGCGAAGGTCAATGACCTGATGTCTTAGATTAAAGACTTGGGAAGATCAAAGTTTCAGAAGGAATTTAAAATATTTGGATGTATTTCTACGTATTTCGATTTTTTTTAAATCCATCAATTGAAGTTGTTCAAGTATTTCAAAATATTTAATGGCTTTTGGAATATTTCAAGATTTTTGAAGTATTTCTAGATATTGCAATGTATTTCTCGAAAGGATTCGAAATATTCGAACTATTTCTGTGAATGTATTTCAACATATTCATAGATTTTACAAAGATTTCAAGTTGCCTATCTAGATGTTATTAAAGCATAAGGTATTTCCAAGTATTCAGAGATATTTAAAGAAATTCAAACTATTTTGAAATTTTCGAGACTGGTTCTTGAGGTATTTTTGGAAGTTTTCAGTATACTTATAATTAATGGATTGTCTTAAAACCATGTAATATTAATAAAAACAACTAATTGGGAAAATTTATGAAACTTTGTCACCTTGTATTTCAAAACTGAAACTTTTGCAGACCTACGCTCTTTTTCTATTTTTTGCTTAGAGAGTCAATTCTAGAATTTTTCAGATGGAACACACTATATAAAAACATTTTTTTAAAAAGCTTATAACTTGATTTTTACTTTCTCAAAGATGACTGCAACTATGAAGGTAATTTTTACCATTCGTAGAAAACGGTATTAGTTTTCTCTGCAGACTCGTACCTATTATAAAACCTGCCCATTCCCAGACGCATTTCCCGGCTCATCGCCCAAGCTTAACAGGTGACATAAAAGCAATTATCGTTCTACGAAACGGCTTCTAATAGAATTACCTTGACGACGTTCTGCAAGACGGTAGAGAACATGAGTGCATAATATCCAAGACTGGGGAGCCGTCCAATTAGAAGCATTAATTCAATCCATGCCAGCAACACGGCGATGCTGGTGGCGTGCAGCAACCAGGTGGGAGCTCCTGAGAAATTAGAGTGTTGAGCTGCAAACAGAAGAATTAAGTGTTAGTGGACAGTGACCGATGTATTTCAAATGTTTACCGAGTTTCCACAGAGTGAAAAAGGTGTTTTGCCAAAAACAGATTTTTTTATGTAACTCCAAAGTGGCTTATCGGATTCAATTGAAACTAGTTGCACAAACCCAACAAATTGTTATTAAGTATGTCCTATTATTTTGTAACTGCATTTTTTGATTAAAATGACACTGTTTAGGCCTTTTTGATATACAAGAAACAAAAAAGCAGTTTGTTGAGGAAACAACTAGTACTCTGGAACCGCGAGTAATAACAGCAGATCTTATTTGTTGATTTCCTTGTAATCCTGTCCTATACCCTACCATAGCAAACCGCATTTTAACAAATTGTGAGCCTGCCATTCGGACAATTAAGGTAAGTTGTTAATCTTATACCAATATAGTCCATTTTACACTACCATAAGTACCAAATTAGTAACAATGCACATCTTCTTTAGTTTAATAATACTAAAACTTATAATTAGACCACTGCCAATATTACCTGTAATAGTTTCGAAGTAATTAGAAGCAGCAAAGCCGCTTTATTACAGCTTGGAAAACGCAAAATTGCATGGATTATCTACTAGGAACTGAGACTATCGAACGAGCACCACTTACCGTTTCCATTCGAGTCATCCACTGTATGATCCGCTATTATGACCACAGTCAATGAGAGGCAAGTGCAAATTAAATTCATCCAGAGTTCGTACCGCCGCAGATAGTTTCTGTTCATCAAAACGCACTGGAACAAAGAGGAAGCAGTAGTTTGTGAGGCAAGTACTGGGAAATAATAATAATTGCGGGTTGCTAGAAATACAATCTGATAACGAGCTACGACATGTAAACTATTTAGATGGGTATTTAAAAAATATTTGTATTTAAATGTAGGAATTCTGGCAACAGCGCATTCAGCTGATTAGTGCAGATTTAAAATTAGTAAATGCTTACAACAGTTTTAACAAAATAACATTTAACAAAATGCTTCCCAATAAAACTAGAAAATCTTTTTTACAAATTTATGGAAAAGGGAAAAAGATATCGTTTCCTGGTTTATCGAATATAAGAACTTCCGAACATATTGTTACATACTGGCTTCAGATGATGTAGTCGTTTGGCAAATACTTGTCAAACGTGAACAAATGCCGTATGTGAATGGTGCAAATTTGATACATTCGGAAACATGTCTTTCCTTTCCAAATACTTGGGAATGTTATTCATATTTATATTTAAGGAAATTGGCCACTTTAAAAAAATTATGTTTCCTATTGAACCATAAACAGTATCCGTCAAGGAACAATGCAATTAATCTCATCAAGTCAGCTATACCCTTTTACCCCTGAATTTAATCTAAAATTTTTATTTGACATGTTAAATAAACACTTCTCTTTACATTACACGTATATGGTCATATTTTATCTTAACCTAATAACACGAATCGTTAACCTTAACATATAAAATACGAACCTGCAGAATAGCGTGACCTAACAGTCCCGACGACGTCAGTATCAAGATGTACTTCACCGTAGTTTTCATAACGTGCAGCACATGATAATTATGAAGGATGAGAGTAGCATAAAACCCCATGAACACGGCAAATACGGCGTAGATACTAATCCATAAGTAGAAAAAGTAGGAAATCCTTGACCATTTCAGCAGAAGGTACAACTCTGCGAAAATAGTTTGTTTCACAGAAAAAAAAAGTATAGTTGTAATCTGCTTATAGTGATGTTTTGTGCAAGAGAGTAATTTTATGCAACAAAGCTGAGCTGTAGTATTAAGAATAAATAAAACGCTTTAATGGGCTTGACTGGGATTTAGTTTGTTGCTTTCCGAGAAACAGAATATTAGCTTTCTCGAAAAAAATCTGTTTTTCTTTATATCCCCAAACGGGTTGACCAAATCTATTCAAATTTGGTGCAGGTTATCACCTGAGGAGTCGGGGGTATCGCAAATTTTTTTTTAACAGTATTTGTATATCACTGAAGTTTTTGCAAAAATTGTAGTTCAGGGTAAGGAGCAGAGTAAAATGCAGAGAAAAGGTACTCTTATCTTTTTCCGATTTATTCGAAAACTCCCTGTTTTCGAATAAATAGCAAAATGTGCTTTTATAAACCTTCATGCTATACACACAACACAAGGAACAGATATAAGAGTACCTTTTCTATGCAATTTATCTTTCAGTAAATTCTGCTATTTTGCGAAAATTGCAGTGGCGTAGAAGTGCTGCCTAATAAAAAAATATATTAACCTTCACCTCATATAACATTGTCATATTGTCATAATTAAAGGATTTATCTCAAGAGGAAGGACCATAAATTTTTTTCCATATTAATAATTGTCAATTATAAATGCAGAACATTTCCAAAACATTATTTAAAACTGTTATGTCCATTTATAATGTATTTAATGTCCTTAGTAATGCAAGTTTACATTATTTGCAAAACAAACATTCGAATTGAGTCTGCTTCTTGCTTGACCTTGATTGAAATAACATCCACGCACCTGTTTTGTTAATTATATACTGTTGTGGTTAGAACCTACTTTTCATCATAAAAAAAGATGCTGTTGAAAATAGTTATTAGATGGGTTATCTCGACCAACAAGTACCAAATAAGAAAATGTTTGTACGATTGGTTCAGTAATCTACAGATTATAGGAGTTTTGAACGTCAATAAGAAAATGTTTGACGGGAACAAAGAGTGAGAAACTTGGAACTAGAAATAAACGAAGTAGAAGAGAATCCTGGTACAAACGCTCTAAGATTAGCCATAAGATTTCGTGTATGTCATATGCTATAAAAATCAGATACTTACTTATTTTTGTGCATTTTAATTATCATTGTTTATTTATTACTGTTTGAGTTTTCTGTTAGATTATTTGTTAGGTATTGTTTTATAATTCCTCTTATTTAAAAGAACTAAATTTTCGTTTATGTAAGATTATACTCTAAAGGAGACGCTTATGGGTGATGTGGAAACTTGTTTTTTTAATATAATTATTTAAATTTAACAAGAATGCATACCGCAGTTCCCAAGTGTGTATGCGCTATGTATGAGCTTGTTCAGCGGCGAAAATGAAAATCATAAAAAAATTTACAATTTTCACAACGCAATTTGAGAAATCCGCAAAGGTAACCGATAACTAGTACATACATCATAGCACACATGATAATATTGAAATCTTACTTTTTAAATCATATCCTGCACAAAATTTGAATTATATTGGTTTTGCGGAAACTGTAATATCTGTATCTCGGAACGAAGTGAAAAATGTATGAAATCACAGATTTACATTTTTATTAAGGCAGGTCATTTCTACCATTAGGTATAAATAGACTAACCCTAATGACACGTTCATTGAACCCAATTGTCAAGAAAACTGTAATGCAAATCAAGTTAAAAAATTATATTCACTTATGAACATTAACAAATATTATCTTGAATGTTAAGACTTTTGTTAACAGACGTCTACAATGTACACACAGCTTATGGTTACCGTTGAATTTAAAAGAAGCCTCAAGCTGTTTAATTTATTTAAAACTACGTAACACTATAGCATTCAGTGTTGTAAAAGATACATCTTACTTTTACTCCCTATGGCTATATTGATCTCTTACCAATAACTGGATGTTGTAGGACTTCCGTTTTCTCGTCTTCGGACGCGACAACCAGAACATTAGAAATGACTTCCATTTGTCTCCTGCATTTTTTAGGGGCCAGAACAGTGAAATCTGGAAAGAAACAGATGGAACGCTTACATGCTGTGCGATATCTCTCCCCCGGTTTCTTAATAATGTCCCGCTTAGCGAGCTTTGTGGTGACAACTTCCTTAAAAGTCAAAATATAGTTGCATTAAGACATACGAGAGATCTTATTTTATTCTTTAGAATATTTGAAAAGGAATACAAATATTTCCATTCGTTAGATAGATCTTTATTTCTGGTCATGATCGAATGCCAAACTTTTTGATAAAAAACTGCAAGGACGTAATATGTGTATTCTCAAGGTACTGATAATATTTAACTTACGGCAGAGATCCACAAATCTTACTTTCTGGAAAGTTGGTAAGGTAGGTATGCCCGATTTTGAAATCTGGGGAAACTACATTAATCTCTAACTTTAGACATAATATTACCACAATATGTAACTTTGCTAAGCTCTTTGATATGTCTTATACCGAAATTTGGTCTTTAACGGATCGTTCCATATCTCTTTATCGACAACGTCTATGAAGAAGAAGTTTACTACTTTTTAAGTCGTGTTTGCTTTACCCAGTCCAGTGTAATTGATGAACATGGGCAAGCTGATATAGTACACATCGATTTCTCTACCGCATTGCCCATAACATTTCAATTAGAAAAGTTAATTACATTGGTTTTAGTGATCCCTACTAAAATTAGTCCAGTCATACTTGCAAGACATACAACAACATATGGCTTACAATGTTTATCAGCTTTTTAGTCACTTTTCGAGTTCCTCACGGTTCAAATCTCGGGCCGTTATGGTTTTTAGTATTTATATTGCCTTCTGTAACAGTTTGTTAACATTATTTTTGTTGGCAACCTTAAGTTGTCAAGAGATCGACTCTAGCAATGATTATCTGCTAATACAATGAAAATAAGAAAAAATAGAAACATCGCGTAATGTAAACTATTTAATCATAGGCGTGTAAAGTTTTGACATTTACGCGTAAGAAATTTCCTCTCAAATACTAGGAAGTCCAATACGGTTACGAGCTTTGTAATTTTCTTTATATATAGAATTGCTATTTTCTGTAATACGTAGTTTCAATTCTTGCATCTTCCACTGAAATAAACTATATTTTCCCTCAGCCGCTACGTAGCACTTTTCTTTGCTTTTCCCGCAAACGGCATATTTTCTTGATTCCACGACTGCTACATTTCACTGCAGATAAAACTTATTAGCTCTAATCTGTTTTTCCTGATAGCTGACTTTTTTAATATGCCCGGCCCTGGCTTTAAAAATGAGCCTTTTGGCGAGCTAATTTTGGAGCCACGACAACATCGATAAATCAAGCCTTTGGTCCCAGGGCTGCACGAGGGAGCGCTGTTCAAATGTTTCCTTGTAACGCCCCAAATAATAATAGGAATGTATAATAATGAACAGCCATTATGAATGCTAATGCCTTGCCGTTCTTTTTTTCTTAAACAATTTATAAAGAAGCTAAGCTTTTCATGGATATTAAGATGAGACATAGAGATATTGAAATGAAAAGTAGCATGTCGTTCTGTAACAGTGACAAAAAGTTTCAGCCTCTACAATGAATTTGTTTTTATGAACAAGTTACATACATAAGGGGACTGTCAGAAAAACAATTCAATTGCAGCAGCTAAAACAGGATTCCTGATGGCCAGTCAATAGTCGCAAGTCAGAAGTTATTTATCTAACTGTGGCTCTCAACAATAACAAAAATTTCTTGCTGCAGTAATTAAACTATATTGCTATGGTTACTAAGACTTTCAGTTAAATGTAATTTTGGTTCAGCTCTATGTAGATTCCAAAACTAGCATTTATTTATTCTGAAGATGGTAATAAAATTTCGAAGCGCAAACGAATGAAAAATTTTACTATAATTATTCATCTAACTTGCTGGAGTATCAACGTGAGTCGAGAAAATTTTTACTTATCTCTTTACTTGTTTTGAATGTCGTGGCAAAAATGATACTGATACGGGAAAGATACCTTTGAAGGGTCATCCGGGAAAATCCGAGGAATACATTTAATTAAACCTCTATTTTTATTTAATTCTGAGCAGTAATAACGTGCTGTCGCATTGGTCTGGCGGAATAAATTTAATTAAAACTGAAATTAAAGAATGAACCGGGAGAGAGGCAAACAGAGATGAACAAAGCGGTGCTATTGACACAAATAATTGAAATATAATCTCCTGGGCTCGAGAAGAGCAAATCCGGGAAAATTACTTAAGAACTCTGACCCTTTGTTGCGTCGAGATAAGTCCGTGGAAAGGAATGTTCGCTGATCGAGACACCGGACATTAGGGGATATTCAATGACAGTTTTTCCCAATGAAAACACTTAGTCGTTATTAACTCTACTATTAATTTGCTGTTCTTTGTGTTAAATTTCACTGGAATACCAATTTTTTCATATGACTCCACAAATAAAAGCCTAAAGAATTCCTTTCAGGCAACCAAGCAAGTCGACAATGTGGTCCAGTCTTTCCATGTCAAATAGAAATGTTGGACAACACCTCGAAACATAGATGCAACAATTCTCCATTTAAAGCGAGGAATAACACTGCCAGTATCTGAGACACTAAAACGTCAACGAATGATTAAACTTGTGAGAGTGCTGCCTTATAATTAATTTCATGTGATATTCACAACAAACAAAATCGATTGCCAATATAACATAAACAAAACATAACACGAGGGGTAAACCGCTGAGAAAGTTTTTGTACATGTCCCCAGGAAGTCGGGAAGAAGTTGGAGGAAGTTATACGGAAGTTGAGGAAGTTGAAAGGAATTCCGAAGGAAGTCGGGGAAGTTTTTAGGAATTCCAAGGAAGTAGAGAAAGTCTGGAGGAAGTTTGGAGGAAGTCGGGAAGTTGAAACCAAACTGCGCATGCATGAACGGTAAACGCATGCGCAGTATTATCTTTTATAGAAAAATGCGGAGAATGTTAAACATTTATGTGGAGGAATTACGAAGCAGTCTAGAGAAGGTCCGAGTTTGACGAAGTATAGAGAAGTTTTTGTACAGAATTCAGGGAGCGGTTTACCCCTCGACAAAACACGACTCTAAACTACGACTCGACAATTTACGGAGTCACCGCAGTACGAAAAACAATAAAAACAACAGAAAATGAACCACAGTTAAATATCGTTCATAGTGCGACCAACAGATAGCTCTGGTTTTGAAATATCACGTATTGAACATACGAACGCCCCGTACTGTATTTCTTTACTGAAACAACATGAATCGTTAGTATGTTTCGGATGAATTTTACGAGTTGTTCACTAAAGGAAACTGTTACAGACGTATAAATATCAAATGAGACAACTCTTATCTTCTGATCCCTCTCTACTAATTTATTAATTCAGGAGGTGGTTGTTACATTTTATAAGCAATAAAAGGAAGAACCGAGAATTACAGAATGTTGCCAGGAATATTAAATATTTTATGAGGTCCGGCTACCGATGGGATTTGACTTGGTGTAATAAGGTCACGAATAGATAGTCTCCAAGTACGTAATTATTAGAATTTTTAGTGGTATATAATTTACTTTAGCAAATACTCATATACAAAAACACTTACTGATGTATGAATATCCAAGAGGCGAAGGAATTGAAAAATATTATTGAAGGGAAATAATGAAATAAAAGTTGATGTTTATTTAAATTGGACAATAGCATTAACATAACACAAGGAATAAATATATGTAGAGTTCATACTAGCAGTGGAGAAATGAAAAACATCAAGGAAAATATTAATACAGTATGAATAATAAAAAAAAAATGAATACAGAAAAAAGCCTAGAATTAATAGAAGAGCTTAAGAGGCTGAACAAAAATAAATGAAGAATAATATGAATGAATATGCTTGTAAAAATTATACTACTTTGTAATTTATGTTTAATACTGTCATCCAAAGTATTTCCTTATTTTTAACACATTGCATTAAAAAAATCAAATAGAAATAAATCGAGCATCTTAGAAGGATGATCTGTCACTATTTATTGATTTAACTTGGAGAATTATTGAATTTTTGTATTGTCGAATATTTCAGAAAAGTCTTTTATGCAGGTCAAATTGTTGATAATATAATTTATAATTTTTGATAATCTATATTGCTATTTTGTGTATTTGAAATTATTTGTGTTGCCCAATTTATTACTTACTTTACATTAAAGATCCAAGTGGGGTGAACAACACAGATTTCTCCAAAGCGTTAGATAAATTGGATCAGAGTATACTGGCCTGCAAGTTTGAATATTTTGGCATCAGTAAATCACTTATACACTTCTTCAATTTGTACAGTACCATGGTTCCAAATCCAAATCAAATATTAGGCATGTACAGGGTTAGATACTTGGCCCACTGCTTATTATTCTTTTCATTAATGATATCGCCAATAATTTATAGTATTCACTTTTCCTGTAACTGATTGTGGAACTTCAGCAGTGTTTTAGAGTTCCTTATGAAGAAAAGTGTAGTACGTTTTTCGAAACGTCTAGACCAAAGACGCGACAACCATCTTGGAAATTATTCAATCAAACTTTAGCACAGTTTACACTTTCTCAGCGTAAGGTGTGTCAATAATCTAATACCTTCAAATGTTTCTAAATTTAGGGCGATGCCTTTTTCCTTCAAAACTAATTATATTCGCTTTTGATATAGTTGGGTAGACTGGTTGTGTAAAGGATTTCGACGATATTGTGGTACCAAATTAACTTCTTCTGTAAATATTACTGGCTGCATTCAGGGGCTTATAAAAATTTAAGTGAAAAAAAAATGCGGGAGTTGATAATAAAATACGTATTTTAAAGACATTTTCCTTTTGTGGTTTACATCCTTATTAGAAGAATTATGTACTCTGTAATTTTCTCATATAAAATTAACCACAATATTGTTCACATTATACTTACGTATTGTTGTTTGTTAATTTTGAGAACATGCTGGACGTATTTTTGGGAGTAATTAAAAGATTTTTGTGTTCTCATAATTCAAATCATCTGTGTGTATTCATGTTTTTTTGTTTGTCAAAATTTATAATTACGTTTTCTCTTTTTTATGACATACTTAATGAATTGTCTTCTGTTTTTCTATTATTGTTTCATTATTTATTCATGCACGATGATTGCACATATATTTTGCTGTAATTTTATTCATTAACAACTGTATTTTTCAACATATTTTATATTTTGTTTGTACATTTGTTTTTTTTTTTATTATTTTATATTTATTTATTCTTGGTATCGTTCCCTTGAATGAATTACATTAAATAAATAAATACTATATACAATTCAGTACTTACCAATAGTGTAATAATGCTTGTACTTATCCGTCCGCTTCATTAATATCTGCTCGTCCAGCAACTCCTTTATTATCCTTTCAGGCTTTATAATTTCACGAAAAATAATATCAATCACGCTGTCGTCTTCGGAGTTCACCACTGTTAAATCCCCGCCGTGTTTTATCAGCATTTTCAAACAGTTTCGGTGGTAGTACTGAGCGGCGAGGTGAAGGGGTGTCCACCCCTTCTCGTCGGGGAGATTGACGGTGTCGGGGGTGCACCTTTTGTCGCTGAGGATTATCTCCAGGATGTTGCTTCCGCCTAAAAAAGTCATGAATCAGTAATCTGAAATATATACCAGGCAGCTGAAAAAACAGTTTGTATCTTCGCGATAGCTTTTAAATTATGCTTTGAAGAAAGGTCTACTTAAGAGTAGATTGAAAATTTTATATGAAAGAGTGGTATTACATTTGTGCTAGGAAAAGAACGACATATATTGCTGCCTACTTAACATTTGCCAGGACCATTTACTATACGTTACAGCTAAAATAGTGTTAATGTTAATGGTAATGTTAGAAATGTTAATGGTAATGTTAATGTTGGGAAATTTAATTTTTAACATTATTTTTGTGCTTTTTTTTGGTCGAAGACTTTTTTGATAAAACAAATCTCTGGAGCTGTTTCTTGATAGATATTAAAAACTTTATTACCTAATTCGGCCAGCAGGTGGAGCTCGTTCCTGAAAGTCGGCGCCAGCCAGGCCCCCTCCTGGAGAAGCATCCTTACCGACTCCTGCCTCTTGTAGAAAACGGCATTGTACAAAGGGGTCAATCCTGAAACAGATTAAAAACTTTCGCGCTAATGATGGAATCCCATATACTTTGCCAGAGTTTATGCTGCCGTTACGAGCATGGATATTAGCTCCTGAAAAAAGTTTTCCCACTTCGGTAATAAGCTGATATTAAACGGTGCTTTCATGGCCGGGCAACGATTTTTTTTTTGTAGCTCACGGCGTTTTTAAACTTCAACCATAACAACGTGGAATAATGACGGTAATGCAGTTAAATTCGTTAAATTTCTTGTAATGGAGTTTCCAGGCTGTTAAATCATAAAGCATTTCGCCCGCAAAAAAATATACGTTGCAGCTTTACAGTCATAAAGAGAACCGCAGAAAAATGTAGAGCAACGTTTCGTCAGTGTTTTGTTTGCTTTTGTGGTTCTAAAAAATTGGTAAGGACTTTTAAAATTAAAATAAAGTTCATACGTGAAATCCTGAACAGGTTGGAACTATTCTGTGTACATGGATATACATTTTAAACCAAGACCAAAACGATTTAACTAAATTTAGATCTGTAAATCACGTTGACCAATTTAAATGGAATTTGATATACTAGTTCCTGTGTAAAAGCCACTTTTTGACATGACAATCAAAGTAATTACTCAGAAGGAAAAAAAATTTAAGCAAACATGCCTATAATTTTTTGCGGATAACCAAACAGCCTTAGTTCTTATTGTCACAAAAGTAAGGGCAGTTTTAAGGTCGATCTATTTACCTCTAATAGTTTTTTCGTAATTATTAATTAAAGTTATTATTTATTAGCCATCTCCACGCCTTTCTTGGACGAAATAATGTTTGTTAAGTACATAATATTCATATTGAATGTTTTTCACGAAGATTATTAAAAATAGTGATAATTTTCAATAACACATAATTCAGTAAAAAAAATTTTTTGTTTGATTAATGATTTTACTTATTTTTCAAATTGGAAGCAGTAGATTCTCATCGACTTCATGTATGTAATTTGATGCTCCCTAAATAACAATAATCCCAGATTCTAACTTGATAGTCAAAAGAGAAATGTTCAGCAAGTTTAATATTTTTTTGCTGAATTATACGTTATTAGAAATGGTGGTCATTTGATCCAATAGTTTTAATAAAAAAACATTAGATTTTAAGTGTTTGTATTCCACAAGGTATTTTTTCGCTTTTAGCAAATAAATAAAATTGACCCACATGATTCCAGACAACTTTTATTTAATTTTTTTATAAATTTTACAGTTGCAGAGTTACAGAAAAATCCCTCTTAGGTAGAACACACTGTATAAAGGATTTTCAAGTTATGTGAAAAAAAATAATAACAGTTTTTGTGAACTTACAATTTTGGATGGATATTGGTTTAAATAAATGGACTGAAAGTGTATTTTATAATACCAGTTAGAAAATGAACATAAAATTGCAATTTTTAAGAACTTTTTGATTTTCACAACACAACAGAAACTTAAATTGGAAGACATTTAAAAATATGTGAAATAAATCTATAATTTTAGATATTATTGGCCGGTTTTTTTGTTTTCATATAATTGATTTGAAATTCTGTAGAAGATACACACTGAAAATTAGATTTAAGTTTAATCAAATTAAACCCAGTTTAAATATTTAATGTAATTAAATTCCTTTCTGAAGAATGCCGGGATATTGCAAGAGTTACATTAAAAATATTCAGAACGGATTCTGTTATTGCCTCTGGAGTAATGGAAAATAAAACTTGTAGTTAGGTACATTTCGCTGAAGTAAACAACTTTTTAAATCTTAGCTTTTTTAGTCACATCAAAACCCTCATCGCAAATGATGCAATGCAAACTGGATGTGACATTTGAAGTTAGTTGGCCAAGGTAGCTATGGCCAAAATGACACACCGTAAATTATTATGTTTCTGTTTTAGAGTAGGATAGTTTTTCAAGTTGTTACGGCGTGGTATAACCGTATCGCAGATACAGACTTACAATGCCCTTTTTTAGCTTTCATTAGGAATATTTGACCTGCTCTTGTTGTTCCCGTGTTAGGCTCTGTGGGGACGGACAAGAATCCAGAGCCTCTAGATCCGCCCTGATATTGATTTCAGTTCTTATCCTTGACTCTAAGTACACTACAGGTGGAAATACTTATTAGAAAATGGTGATTTTCTGAGACTGAATTATAAAAGAGGAACCTTCGAGGTTATAACAAAAGATGTCTTGAAAAATATATTTCTACTACTAACTTAAGGAAATAAGTATACGAATTCTTGATACACGGGAAAATCAAGTACAAAAAGTTGGGATTGATAAATAATAATCTCATTGTAAAAAGTTGAACAGAGAAAATATTTTAGCCCTCGCTGCAGCAAACAGACTAGCTAACGATGCAAAGCTGCCCAGTTGCATATCGAATTGTTTGCAGAACACTAAATAATGTAGAGGTTTTATTTTATATTCCTTCAATATTCCTGCTTCATTAAAACAGACAGGCGAGTAAAAGCCCCTGCATCCCATAGGTAAATAATATTACGTAAACCGATAAACGTGTTTTGGTGAAATAATATTTCCTTTAATTATACCTTCGTAATAAAGAAGTATTAATGAAAGCATTATTCAGTAACATTGCAATATGCTTACCAACTAAAAAACGAAAGGGAACGAAAAACGAAAAACGAGGTTATTCATTTAAGTCTTAATAAATCAAGAGTCTAAAATCATTAGTGATAAATGTAATAAAAATTTCAGTTATTTATTTATTGCTGAAAATATTCGACCAAAGAAATGACCAGATATTTAAACTCCACTGATGTTTGTAGTCGATTTTTCAATACCAATGAGTGACTTTTATGTCGATTTACCATTCTGGTAAACATTTTATTATACCACATTTTTTTGGAAGATTTCTTAACGGTCATTTCTTACAAAATAACTTTAATCACACATGTAGTTCGAAATTTGTTTAAATGGAGTATTTTCACATCATTGCATTGGCAAAGTTGGTTCCATTTCATGACCAGCAAGTTCCCGAGATATTACCCCACTTGATTTGCTTTGGGCATATCTTCAAAGCGTGATCTATCGCAACACACACAAGAGGATATGAGACAGCATATTGGAAATTCTTGTATTAACATCACCTTATTATTATTACATATCACCTAGCACCTGTCTGAAAGACTTCAAAGCTACATTGAAAAAGATGGTGCGCAATTCGACTACTTAATGTAATTGAATAAAAATGTAAAATAAAATAGTAAAAAAATAGTAATTGAATAGTAATTTTTTGAATAATTCAGTTACTGTAAATTTTTGAAAAAGTTTCCTTTAAAATGGGACACCTACGAATGATTATAAAACCTATGGCAGCAGCCATGAGATAAATCCCCAATCGCCGGCTATATTGACCTCCTAGCCTACTTGATTACTTCATTAGGCAAACGCCAAATTCAATTAAGACGTGAAGAATTAGTTCCCTATAAAACAAAGCCAAGTGACTGCGGCAAGATGTACGTCGGCACCTCCGAGCCACGGTGGGACTTCCTTTATGTTCGGCGGCATTGTTTGGGCGAAAATTGAGCGTAAACTTGGCGCGCGCCTTTTTGTACGTCACGCCAAGGTTCAAGGGTTTAATGGAAATCTCCGGCGGCTTTAAAACGACGACGGCCCCTCTCGCCAGGATCAATTACCGGACTAATTACCGAAGAATTGTTTACTCTGAAAATATAACACTGCGTCTATTTACAATGCTTCTATTTATAATATCTTATCTGTCAAAAATGGCAGACAGGATTGTTTGCCTCGGAAACATAATGCGTGGTCTGTTCATAATACAAAAATAGATGTTTCAGTTGTTTACTTTTTTTACCGTATTTCGTATGTCAAAAAATGTCAGTCATTAACTACGTTTGAGAGTGGATCACATGAAAAAAATTTTGTTGTTAATGGAATAAACTAAAATGTTGCTATACGATTTTCATTTGTTTTCAAGTTATAGCGAAATGCAATTATTTAGCATTTGATTACACGTTTGTACGATCAAAGTGTTACAAAATGCAAAGAACTTATTCAAATTTAGAGTATGCAAATATGGTGTTTGTTTATGGTTTTTGTAATGGGAATGCTAATGCTGCTGTTAACATCACTGTGCGAAACCGGAAAGCTTTCCAGTGCATCTGAACGATCTCATCGAGAAGGTTTAGAAGAAGTGGACAATATTCTGGGTCTAGTAGTAGATGATGCAGCTACCAGCTCACGAAGAATTGCTACTCAATTGGGCATTCCACAAAAAAAAAGTAATGAAAACCTTCTACGAGTAAGGCTTATATCCGTACCACGTACAGAGAGTACAACCGAAAGATTATGCTAGGCGTATCGTGTTTTGTCGATGGATCAATAATAATCATTTTGTTGTATCCCGCATACTTTTTACGGCTGAAGCAACATTCACCCGTAATGGCATAACTAATTCTCGGAACTCCCATGTATGGTCAGACGAAAATCCTCACGCAACACTTGAAAGTAATATTCAGTATAGGTTTTCCGTAAACGTGTGGTGTGATATGATCGATAGTTACTTAATTGGCCCTTTCGTTTTGGAGAATCAACTCACAGGGGATCACTACTTACATTTTTTTACAAAGGGCATGTTCCTATAAACATGAGAATGTGAATATACTACCAGCACGATGGAGCGCCTGCACATTTTACTGGTCAAACTATATTTGAACGAGAGATTTCCAGGGCGTGGGATTGGCCGCGGTGGTCCTGTTAGTTGACCTCCAAGATCTCTAGACCTCATAGTACTAGATTGTTGTTTATGGACCAAGCGATTCGAAATCTTGGCCAAAATTCGAATATCAAGCGATTGGTCTATAAAGTCTTACTTGGGGGTTTTCGAGGTCGCTGATTACGAATTTGTGGTCAAAATTAAAAAATGCAAAATGGCGGATTAAATATTGCGGCGAAAATTTAGGCACGATGACAGACTTGACTATAAATGCTTACTCGGGAGGTTTTCAAGGTTGCAAATTACGAATATAATGTCTACATTCAGAAATTAATAGTTGCAGTTATAGTTGTATTAAAAAAATAATTTATCATTGTATTAAAACGCCTTTGATTTGCCTACAATAATGGTAGTTTCCAGGGTCTTCAGTTTGCGCGGTTAGTGGTGCCGCCGAAAATACTGCGTCCATTATGATGTCTATACAAATGTTTATTTGCTAAATTTACATTTACATTAACTAATAAAAAAAAGGTAGATATCAATATTATAAGAATTCGATCACATTTTACCATTCATGCGTTTTATTAAAGTTCAACATCGTTATTCGCCAGGAGATCGTGGATTCTATATACTACTATTTATGTTTGTTGGAGATGTTTTGAATAATTAAGTATTTATATCTTCGAATCAATGAACAACCTTATACTTCTACATTTCCTACCGTTTACATAATTCAATATATACTATTTACTTTAATGCAATTATATTCAAATTCAGTTAAGCCTAACTACTGACTTTTCGATTATTTTCTAATAAACACTGTTAAAATCCTATTTCAGTTAATACGGTTTTTCTTGAAAACTATAAAGTTTTTTAAAATTTAACAAAAGTGAAAAAAATTAAAATTAAATTCTGCTGTGAACTAATATTATTATTTTTCAATTCGGCCAATGAAAAAAAAGTTCGGTACAATTTTAGGGGTGAGTAATCAATAATGAACACCTTGCAGTGCTTTAATTAACTTTAAATCATAGTCAAAGAAGACCAGTAAGTAATAAACCTAAATTATGTACCAAATTTGGTTCTTCTGCGGTAAAGTGTTGCAGAGATATTAATTTTTTTAGGCCCCCACTTTGGGGGCCAATAACTCCTTAGGGGTGCAACTTAAGTTTGGTTAAATTACAATATTTTGGACACCCCTAAATCACCTGCCCTGTGTCGGTTCTTATGCGGGACACCCTGTATATATAAGAATCGGAACACTCTGAAGTGTTTACAAAAAGATAAATAGTTACTTTTGTTCAAATTCCATACTTAATTTTTGGTCAAGATTTCGGATCGTCTGGCCCACAGTGGGCTGGTTCAAAAACGAAATGTATAAAGTTGCGATTGAACACTCGGGAGGCACTTCGACATACCAACAATAATGCAGCACTTATCAAAGAAAGACATGCAGAAATCAGGAGAGGTATAGACGCCCTCCGTAGACGAAGCAGAGAGTGTTTAGAGTTCAATCATAATGTTTTTGAACGTTTAATCAAAAAACGCTCTGATTAATCGAATAAATCGAATAAATTAAATTTATTAAGATATTATTATTAATGAAAATCGCATTTGAGTTTATCTTATTATTTTGATATGTAGAACACATTCCTGAAGTTTGGTGCGAATCTCCCGACTCACCCGGTATATTCTGCAAATAAAATATGTTTTTTATAGAATATCTTTTTGTTTGACACATTGATACGATTAAATTGATACATGCCGATTTAGAAATAGTTTTGATTTCATATATTTTCAACATGTTCATTAATTCATTGTTACTGTTTCGATTGCCAGTTTGGTATGTTTATTCGCGCACACACCAACGGATATTTTAGTAGGAGGTAAGTCTTAATTGAGAATTTCTACAATTGAAATTTTAATATATAAATCACAGGCAATGACAGGACGTGTTTATATGTGTGTAATTTTCTAATTCGACGAGCTCGTTGTTTAAAAAAAGTATTTATAAATCTACAAAAACATTTTACTGAATTTACTATCTGGAGAGTTAAAATGGTCCTCCAAGTTCCAGACTATATGGCACAAGGGAGACCTGGTGCTCTCTTTCACCACCTTACTTACATTCATATCTTGAATCTCGAACCCTCTCATAACAACTTTATTATGTCTGCACTATTCCCTCACGTAGGCTGGCTCTACATAAACAACCACTGAACAACTGTGCCGTGAGCACTACACATCATTGTTTGTTTAATTTTATTATTAGTGAATTAATTTTGAATAGAACTGAGTTAAAGCTGCTTTTGTAGTTAATTTTCAAAATTCTTAACTTAATTTTACATCTTCGAGTTAAAAACTTCTCCAGACTTCAATTCTTGATACTGGGAGACATTGCCAAATCCAAGTAGATTTAGAGTAGATAAAATAAATACTGGACTAGATAAGCATAAGAACTGGGAGGAACTTTTTACGTTCGGGTAATACCAGAGCGCTTTCCGAAGACCTGTTGCTGCTTTTTCATAACGTCTCCAGCGTCAAAACGTCTGCAGTTGATGAATGGTTGTTGCGAAAATATAGCGCTAAGGCTTGAATAAGGTTCGGGAACATTTTACTGCATTTTCGAAATATCGCTGAAAAATAAATCTACCCGATTCAATTGTAAAAAGTATTTAAAAAATGTTAAGAACTGTTAAGTACTTAAATTGGATATAATCGGCTGTTGTCTCTTTATTCAAACTTTCTGTCCGTTGAAACTACAAAACGGTCATTAAAATTAATAATAATAAAAACTAATTAATTGAAATTTTCTCTAATCGTCCAATGTGTAAAAAGATGGAAATAGTTGTTGTCGTAGACAACGAGTCGTTCGCTTTTTTGTCGTATTTCTTTTGTAGCAAACAGAAAAGTGATAGTTTAAAATAAATTATCGTCAGTTCCACCTTAGTTTTCATTACGGAATTGTTTAAGTTTCTAACAAAATATTTAATGAACAAATTAGTGAAGTAATTTAATTTTTAGTTCTTGTTTCCTTTTTGTGAAAAAACAATATGTCTGTCAGGTATGTGATGTGCGTTAATGAGTACAAATACGTATATACTAAAATGGTTCATCAATAACAAAGTAATGGATTATAGTATAAAAAACTGTGATACATATTGAATAATAATAATAATAATAATAATAATATAGCAATGGTACCGAAATAACATTGTTCATGAACAGAGTTCGTGACTCGGTCGGATGACCATAGCCGTTGCGTCGGCCTTTCGCTGCAGTGCCATGTAGAAACTGGTAATAACGGCAATTATTGGATTCGCGTTTGACTTGCGTATACGTGTTTTAATATTCAAATAATGTCGAACGCACCAAAGGGTAAAAACAACTTTTCGCTGATGAAGTAGGTACGCAAAAATATTTATTTTTATTTTTACCTACCTGTTTATGTATTTGTTTACGACAAACACGCCTATGACTAGCCGACGAAAACCCCGAACTCTATTCATGAATTCTATTCCTTTAGGATATGCATTATAGCAGTTTTACGTTGAGAATTTATCCACGAATATATTTTCTTGAATAAGTTGAAAGTAGTTATTTTTAATTATATAACATGAAAAAATATTGTTATCGTATTTAGCATGTTTAAGTATGACTTTAAAAAATGTGCTAAGGTAAATATAATTTGAGTTCAATATTTTTGTTGGTTCTGAACTTTATGAAGAAATTCACGAAAATGTTTTAATGTAAAGCATGTTTTAATTTGTGAAGAACTTCGTGAATATGAGTCATTACACTTGTCCAGCAGATTTATGAAGCGATTCCAGGAATTAATTTATGACGAAATTCGCAATACAAAACACATGTCTCAATTTCAACCTAACCTCAAAGGAATGCAATTAACTGGGGGCTAGTTAATCTCACGTTCTGTCCGTCGGTTAGTTGGGTTAGAAAACTTATAGTTTAAGTTTTATAGCGTCTAGCTCTCTTTGCTCGTCTGTCAAAGGTTTTGGGCCTGTGGGACTTGCTGGTTCCCATTTGGAAGAGGTTCATGCAATTTTTTGAGGCTAGATTCAAATTCTAATGTAAATTCTCAAAGAATCGAATGCAAGCTTTGCAACATATGCGTTTAATATTTTACTTATTCCCTTCCATCATTTCATACAGTCATTAAGCTCAGGCAATTCAATGCACGCAAAAAACGATTACCTGCCATTTTTGAGGTTACAAAGTGGTCATTATTCGATTGATCAAATCTGGTATTAAATTTATGTAAATACTTTAAAAAATCTACTAGAAGAATGCTTTATTTTCATACAATTTGAACCATTGAATTCGCGCATTGCTTTCGCGCAAGTTTTCAAGGTTAAATTAGAATTCTAACCTATATACATATTTAGACTACTTGAATATCCATTCTCATTAACTTATTATACGGTTGATTCTTCTAAAGTTAGCTACATAGCTTTTCATTAGACATAACCACCATTTTTTATTATTTCGACCTATTACTTGAGGTTAGAATAAAATCCTGACCTAATGACGTAATTCTAATTCGTACTCAGTTTTGGAATGCCTGTGTTACAAAAAATAAGTGAAAGTCAGTATTAAATAGTCGTCAACCTCTTTAGGCGTTTCAAACAGTAAATAGTGAGGAAACAGGCCACGCCTAATAAATTTTTCGACACTTTCGAACACTTCTCCCTATCTGGGTCTGCGGGAATTCGTTCCGGTTTCCCTTTTCGCGGCGATGGCGGCGCCATTGTCAGTTAATTACCTTTGTTGTAAGCGTTGACATCTGCCCCGCTTTCAATTAAGCGTTTTACAATGGCGTTGTAAATCTCTTCCTGCCTGATGCACACGGCCAGCAGCAGGGGTGTGTTTCCGCTACCGTCTTTGGCGTTGACGTCGGCGCCGTTCCCCAGCATCAGGCACACGGCTTCCAGGCAGCCGCTCCGCACGGCGTCGTGCAGGCCTCCGTGCTGGAAATGTGACGTTTCGGTCAATTAAAGAATTACATTCCTAGATGAGTAGAAATAAAAATCCACAAGTACAGAATCATGAAACTGTATAAAACTTTTAATGTGTAATTGGGTAACCGTTTCAGTTTAATTAAATTTGACATTATACAGGGTGATTCACAAATGGCGACCAAAAATGAAACCTCGTATTCTTTGGTGAATTTTAACCTATTTAACACCCTGTATCTTTTTAACGAAGTGTCCTAGATAAAACCTTTATAGGAAATATTCTTCTTAAAATTCATCAAAGAATACGAAGTTTCATTTTTGGTCATCATTTGTGAATCATCCTGTATATCCTATAGCTCCCGATTCTGTTTTTAATAAAGCCGTGCAAATAATGGAATTTAAATTCAGCTTATTTTATGGATTGCAGAGGACCTTGAATTTAACCGGAATTTATATTTGACTGTCTAGTTGTTATGCGCTCTATTGAATAAACATACCACTGATACATGAAAACATATTAGTTTTTGTATTAAACAAATTTCCGAAAACGCAAAACATTTTGCTGTAAAATCAACAAACAGCGTGTTCTGCTTAAGGACATGTCATCGCCCATAGCTTTCTTAAAGCACATCGCGCATGTCCCATTTACTTTGCCATTTAACGCCACCGCCAAATGTGGGACTATTTTTTGCAAAAATTAGAGAAAATCCGCCATCAAAATTATTTTTCCATAAACGGCTAATCGTATTTCGCTATTTTTTTTACTTTAAGTATATTCTATAATTAAGACAGGGATGAAATTTAAATTTTCTGAATATATAGGGTGCCAATAAATTGTTTTTGCGAATATAATTTGAAACAATCAGTCAGCTGGAATCTAACTGTAGTTCCATCTGCTTTGAACAATCAGCTTTGTTGAATGACAAAATATACTTATACAGGGTGATTTGTTAAGAAAATAAATTTTAAACAGAATTCATACAATAATTATGCATACAATTTAACTCGCGCAAAACTGAAATCTTATTAAAACACGTACAACACTAGCTAACATCCTGTATCTAAATTGCAAATGAAAAATATTTCCAGAAAAGTAACTTTAGTAAAAATTCAACCTACTATATGGTGACACTTTTCCATAATTTCTGACCCATTCACTACACCCACTTAAGAGCAACTAATTCTCGGGCTTATCTTCAACAGCTAATTAATGGGTCGAATACTTGCGGGAAAATCGTAATCAAACCGCAGAAATTATTTCAGATAAGGTTTCAGCGAATGTGGGGCAGACTTATTTACATGTTCGTTGTATTAAAAATTTTATGTACGAACTTACCCTGCTGACTTTACGAGATATTTTTATGACACATGCAAAATGCAGATGAATCTTGATTGTTAAGGAGGGTCCCGTATTCGACACCATGTTTTAGGCAGAGATTAAACTTTATGTTGTTTTTACACCTTTGCAAAATATAATCTAGTTAATTAAACAAAAACACACTAGATGACAAAATTACTTACTTATGTCTGATATTAAAATTGAGTAATAAATATGTACAGGGTGTCCCGAAATTAGGGGACAATATTTCTACGGGGTGTTCTATGTCGAAAAAGATATTTTTCATAAAAATAGAAAAAAAATTAAATTTTAAATTGTTGTATTATATTGCTTATATCTATTATTGAAAATGGTTGTGATTAATATATTTTGAATTAATTTTGATTATGTTGCAAAAATTTTTTTTGTATAAAATTAATAATAAATATAATAAAAAAACTTTATATATTAAAATTTCAAGAAGTTAAAATTGTAATTTTATCGACCACATTATTTTTATTAATATTTTTTAATTTTGAGAATTTTGCAATAAATTCAATTGCTTTTATTATTTTTTAAATCTTTTAACAGTAAATAATAATTTGAAAATAATTTGTGAATTTTTACTTTAATTTTACATTTAAATCGTAATTAAATAAATAACAAAATATTGAAAAAATAAGTTTACTTTGGCTTTATATGTTAAAAAAAATAATTTTTTAAATGAACGATAGCTATAGAAGCCGAGATATTGCAAAATTTACAGCGCGCAACAATTTGACACTTTTCTGGCGCGCGCGACTCGGTTGGACGAGCTTCCCCCATCACTACGCCGCGCGCTGGACAGTTTACTTAGCAATTACCTTCTTTTTAAAGGGCTCGTGAGTCGTTAATTTTCCACATTTTTCAATGGAATTCACGGGAAATCAGTTTACGTCGTAAACTTTATTTTGTGAAAAATTCAAGTCTTAATGTTTATAAACAGTTGCGCTACGATTAAAAAAATCTTATCTTGGCTCCTGTTGGTCGTAGAGGGTACTTTTTTTTAAATTTGTATTTTTTTGCCAGTTATCCATTGCACCTATTTTCGGTGAGGTTGCATAAATAGCAACAATTTTATTCAAATTATTTATAAGCGAAAATCGCACGGTTTTTTAATGAACAATTTGTGAATGTAAATGTCAAAAAAACGGTGATATTTTTTAATAGGTCGCTTAATTATGTCTTTAAGATTACAATAACGCTTTCAGAATCATGTTTGGTCTGTACAGAGGTTTAAAATTCATAACTTTTGGAGCCTCCGTTATAAACAAATTGAATTGTGCGAAAACTATTGCACCTACAACGCCAACTTTTGGCACACTTTTAAATTATGACAAAACCCTCAACTTGTCATAGATTTTATAAAATTTTAACATAAATGCGATGGTTATAAACAAATTAAAAAATGGGCACTTTTCTTGATTTTTAGCAATAACTTTTTTGTTTATTAACCGATTTTATATTAACAAGTCTAATTTTGTAGATAATTTTACTCCCTACAAGCTGTCTGTGAGTCACTTCGATGGTTTTCCCTGCAAAGTGAAAAAACTGTTTTTCTCACTTATGTGTTTAAATAGAAAAGTTAGCTAATACAATTTTTCGCCTCACGAGATGAGAGATATCTTGTATTATGTTCCTTTAGACAATTTTACAATAATCTCGCGGATAGGACTTTTTCCGAGTAAAAATTTTATATGCTTGGCCTAAAACGTTTAGACATGTAGGTAAGTAACACAATACCGGGTGATGGAGCATGTAGCCTGTACTTAAAAGTACTAACTTTATTTTTTTTAAATGACCTGTTTTTCCCGCAATCTTTAATATATATGTAGTCCCGTCTGCCAAAATCTTCTTTGTATGAGCTTTTTAACGATTTGTGCTCCTAACATTACCGACAATTAAGGGTTGAGTAATGTCCTCTAAACTGCAGCGCAAATTTATTTGTTTAATTTACGATTTCGTGAACATACTAGCAGGAAACTTTGTAATTGTAAATGTTAATATTAGTGTCTATATAAATCAAGTCTAAATACCCTCCAGTACCAACTAAACTATGTTGCACCGTTATGTGGGTCACCCATGTGCACAAGTAGAGAGTAATTTTGTAATACCAACTATAAAAACTGAGGCATTACCTATTACTACACATGGGTTATTTTAAGGTCCTACTAGTCTATTATTTTGTAATAATCATATTTTTAAATATATTAAATGAGAAATAACGCTAATTTAAATAGCATTACCATGAAAATAAATCAGTCAAAAGACATTAATCGTTGAAGGACCACGGGTGTTACAGAATAATAATGTAGGTAAATCGTAGTACATCGACGTACATACATGGGCAAGTATATTATGAACCTAATAGCACTCTAGACATCTTAATTAATATTATAGCACACCCCCTATATTTTTATACTAATAGTCTGGTTTTACATTCTAGGGTAAAATGACATGGCCGATCTAATTACATTGTTGTCGGAATGCCACTTTATAAAATATTGAGAATAATATTGACAAGCATTTTAAATAAATAGATACATTTTGGAAATAGAACATATTTCGTTGTAGACCGCTGAGTTAAGATTCTCAAAAGTTATAGAAATAAATAATTTAATTCTTTTTTCTTTTACTTTTTACCTTTTGTACATCTAATAAATGCAACACTGAACTTGTACCAACTCCAGTGATTTTCAAAATGTTTCTAAGGGATTTTAACATTACGTTAAAAACTGTCTTGCTTTTCTTATTAAATTACCTCCAAAGTGAGGTTCAACCATCATGCTTTGTCCACCCCGTAAGCCCTGCGAAGCTGTTTGGTAAAACCCAAATTTCCCTGGATTACAAAAGCAGCTGTATAAAGTCATCCCCCCCGTATTAAATTAGAACTTGGAGAAAGTATCTCGGCTAAAACCAAAGTTAAGTGAGCCCTTAAATCCAATTTAAAAACTTTAAACAAATTACAGCACGACTAACAGCACATCTCGGAACAAATTTGGAATTCACCCTGAGCCATTTCTTTAATGAAAATTTTATCATTAGGCCGCCAGCGGATGGGCGGCCGGCGTTGTTCGGAGAGGCGGAAATTGCAGCAGTTCTAGCCGGAACACGGAGTATATCCTCCATGTGTGTTTATTCACTATTTAGTGCAACGTGGGCTACACATGGTTGAAAGCCATGCATAACATTACGGGCACTTACACAGACAAGTTGTGGTTAATCTAATAATAATCACAACCCCCTCATCCAGTAACCTTACCTATTGCGACGAAATAATTAAAAACGTCATCATTCCATTTTTCAAAATGGTCAATTACCCTCCAGAAGCAAATCCTATCGTCAAAATCAGAACAGATTTTTGTTCAACAATTGTAGTTTTATAGGTTTTAAGCTATAGCTGTAATTACAAAGGAGCCTTCATAAATGATTAGAAGTCACGTGAAGAGCAATTTTGTTTTGAACAGTATTTTTATTTCCTTCATGTTGGTCACATTTATCGGCTTGAACAAAGAGTACATAATTTTTTCTATTGTTTCTCATTTCAATAATGTTTAAATTTCTGTGATGTCTAGCAAGAGAAAAAAGTTATGAACAAAACTAATTTTGAGTTCAAGGTAAAGTGCCCTCTAGCGGCACATAATGAAACTTTTCTCTGATTGGTCCAATACAGCTACTTAGGTGGGCCAAATGAGAGACTAATAGAACTTGTACGAAATAAGTTATTTAAACAGGAAAATTTAAAAAAAATAACTTTGACAAGCTGTAACTTGCAAACAATTGACAATTCGAAAAAAATTTTCATTACATACTGCTATTATTTAAGTCCGTAGAATCAATTCCCGGAGTTTCCTGACGGACTTTCAGAATACCCTGTATATTAGCACTATCACCACCAGCTTTTCCGTTAAGGGCTACATTTTGAGAATGATTATAAAACAAAGCGTTCAAAATTTTCCATATACAACTGATATGTTAGTTGCGGTGGAAGATGTATTTACACGAAATAGGATAAATAGTGTTCACATATCTGGAAACTTTCACTTTCAGCACCATTTTTCTTTGAATGTTTGAGCAAGAATAGCCGACGCTCGCTTAATTGGACCATTCATATTGCCAATTCGAATGGATGGTTTTGAGTATCTCGGATTTATTCGAAATGATCTGCCTGGACGTCTTGAATGTGTGGCTGATAACGACATATAAAATTATTTACTTTTATTTATAAGTACGTAAAAATAATTCTTAAAATGTGGCGTTAGGATAACAGAAAACGCATGTTTTACAAACGCTTTTTTTAGTTATTATTTTATTTGGGTAAATTTAAATGGTAACAATGAATAAACAAAACATCAAGGATTTTATTTTTGTGCTTACTTTTGTTCTACACGTTTCACTTTTCAAAATTTCAGTACCTAAAAATGCCAGAAATTTCACCATTTCTCGGCCAGGGATATGGCCACCTTAAGAGAACCACTAGCACAGCTACCGCGATCTCAGTTAAACCATTTTCACTCCTTGAGTAAAGATTTTTGCTAAACTTTCCAAATATTTTGCAGTTTCAAAATTTAGTGATTGAAACAAAACCGAGGATAAGTTTTCTAGTTCGATTTTAAAGACAAGTTCAGCTGTCAAATTAAATATTACATTTTCATTTGATTTTAATTTACAAGGCGATATTCAAACAAACAAATGATTATATTAAATATTTGAACAGTTGAATTTTAAACGAAAATTGAAGTGTCTCGTCAACAGACTTTTTTTCTTTATTAATATAGCAGTTTATGGTATCGCGTAATCTCATCGA